GATCGATTATCACCATCAGAAGTGATTCACCTGCCCGGAGCTGGCCAGCGACGAGGTGGAGGTCCTCGTCGATGACTCCGACTCGTCGTAGGCGCACCGGAACCAGTCGGCGACGTCCACCGACCGGTCCAGGTAGTCCAGGTAGAACCTGGTGGCCATCAGCTCCTTGTACTTCGGCCGTTTGGTGTAGTCCTTCGTCAGGCTGACAAGAAAAAAATGTTAGAAGATCTTTTCGAAAAGTTTCTTCTCCCACTCTCTTACCATTTATCAATAAAGTTCTTAATGTCCGGCGAGAAGCCCGCAGCTGTGGACAGCGTCGGCGGCTCCTCCTGAATGACCTTGGAGAGGAGCTCAAAGTCTGACTTGAAGTCCTGGTAGGGAAAGCGACCGGTGGCAATCTCCACCAGGGTGATGCCCAGACTCCACACGTCGGAGCGAATGTCGTAGCTGCCCGTAGAGTCGGGCGGTTGAATTCGCTCAGGCTAGAGCAAGGAAGAAAAAGAAATAAAGAATTTTAATTCTTGAACAAGAATCTTCAAAAACTCGATAAACTTACCGCCATGTAGGCGGCACAGCCCACCGACCGAGAGTGCGCCTTTGAGTCAATCAGCCGACCGGAAATGCCAAAGTCGCAGAGCTTTATGACGCCCTGGCGGTTGATGAGAATGTTCGACGGCTTGATGTCGCGGTGGATGACGCCGTGGCGGTCCTTCAGGTAATCGAGGGTGCTCACAGTCTACCCCAAAAAAATAAGTTTTTGATAAAAAAAATAAAAGGATCCTTAAGACTTACCGAGACGACAATCTTGCCGATAATCTGCTCTGGAACTCGGGTCTCCGCCCCCAACCGCTTCAGTAGCCGATCAAAGCAGGTGGTCATCAGCTCCATGAAGATCCACACCTCCGTCTCCATGATGTAGTAGCCGTAACATTGGACGATGTTCTTAAAGTCAATGCACTTCCGCAGCAGCTCCAGGTCGTTGATGATGTGCTTGTTGTCGTCCTGGTTGCCGCTGCGGCGCATTTTCTAAGNCAGTCTACCCCAAAAAAATAAGTTTTTGATAAAAAAAATAAAAGGATCCTTAAGACTTACCGAGACGACAATCTTGCCGATAATCTGCTCTGGAACTCGGGTCTCCGCCCCCAACCGCTTCAGTAGCCGATCAAAGCAGGTGGTCATCAGCTCCATGAAGATCCACACCTCCGTCTCCATGATGTAGTAGCCGTAACATTGGACGATGTTCTTAAAGTCAATGCACTTCCGCAGCAGCTCCAGGTCGTTGATGATGTGCTTGTTGTCGTCCTGGTTGCCGCTGCGGCGCATTTTCTAAGTTGAGGAGAAAAATGAGTTAGAAATGAAAAAGGAGTTTAAAAATTCCCTTTACCTTAACCGCCAGGTCAGTCTTTGAGGGCTTGTGCAGCATCTTATCGACCACACCAAAGGAGCCAGCGCCCAGCTCGCTCAGCCGCTGAAAGTCGTCCTCTTTGATGTTCTCGTATTGCTGAAAGAAAAGAAAAGAAAATTAAGTTCCCAAAACTTAAAAAGTATCTCTCTCCCCCACATTTACCTTTCCACCAAGCTTTATGGTTCGGTTGTTCTTGCTGGCAAACTCCTCCTTCAGCCGTGAACTAGACGGGTTCGGGTAGAAGATCTGAGATCGGGCGTGGTTGACGCCACTACCACCTCCACCACCACCGCCTCCTCGAACCGGAGAGTTCGTAAAGTCAAAGGCGACCTGAGGTGAGCGGTGTTGTTGTTGTTGTTGCTGTTGTCTTGAACTCCCGCCAAAAGAAAGCCCACCAAAAGGACTTCCACCGCCGCCGCCTGCCTGATTACTGTTGCTGTTGTTGTTGCTGAAGAGGCTGACATTCTTGCCGATGAGGTTGTCGTGGCTGTTGGAGAGGCCGACTAAAAGGCGAAAAGTAAAAGTTAGGTTTGAAAAGTTGGAAAATAGAAATAGAAAGTGCTTACGATTCTTCGGTCTAGGTCGCGGACTGAGCGAGTGGTAGTCAATGAGGTTCGAGTCGGCGGCTCCACCGAAGAGCGGCGTTCCAGTGACCGAGGAAGAAGACGAGGCATTCTGTCCTTGATGAGAAGGAGTTCCCGAGAAGGAGGGCCGATCCCTTCGACCGCTAAAGTCGAGCTGAAGACCTCGACCACCTCCTCCTCCCCCTCCTCCAGCTCCAAAACTGCCACCACCACCACCACCACCACCACCACCACCACCACCTTGACCTCCACCACCTTTTCTGAAGATGTTCAGCGACAGTTGTCGCTTGAACCCTGATGATGAGAGCGAGGGCGACTCGGGCGTCTGCGCCGCGCTGAAGCTGCTGCCGCCGTGCGAGGGCGTCAGCGGCGGCAGTGACGCCCCCGCGGACAAGGGCGGCGGGTGAGGGTGATGAGGGTGAGGGTGGTGATGGGAGTGAGGGTGATGAGGGTGATGACCATGATGAGACTGTGGAGGATAATGACTGGAGGCGGAGGAGGGCGTCGGCGGCGTCGGCGACACCACCGAGGAGGGTGAATTGGAGGCGGTCGAATTGGAGCCACCGAGGGTGAAGAGGTTGTGCGGCGAGGTGACCGAGGAGGTGGAGGTGGAGTGGTGGTGGTGGTGATGCTGATGCTGACCTCTGCTTGAAGAGTGCTGGTTCGTCATGATCGGCTGACTGCTCGAGTTGACGAGAATGCTGTGCTGGTGCTGGTGGTGATTCGGTTGTTGCTGATAATGAGGAAATGATGAGGCTCCGCCGCTGGAGCTGCTCACCCCGGTCAGCGGAGGGTGAGCAGGCGGAAAACCTCCTCCTCCTCCTCCTCCTCCACCAAAACCTGCTCCAGCAGATGACTGGTGCTGAAGAGGTAAATGTGGAGGGTGATGAGGAGGGTGAGCAGGGTGAGCAGGTGAGGCAGTCTGCGAGGAGAAGGCTGAAGAAGTTGCTGAAGAGGTGTTCGTGGTCGTTGAAGAGGCATTTCCTCCTCCGCCAGCATACGCTGGAGATGGAGTTGTTGAGGTGGAGTGCTGCCCTTGCCCTTGATGGAAGTGCTGGTGGTGATGGGGTGACGGGGAAGAGGTGTTGCTGCTGTTCTGACCACCACCTCCTCCCGAAGAAATGTTTAGCGGAAGATGAGGCGGAGGTTGCGGCGGCGGCGGCCCGGGCGCAGGGCTGCCCAGTGGCAGTGAAAACTGCTGCCCCGGAACGCTGTACGGCTGGTTCGAGTGGTGCAGCTGGATCATCTGAAGAAGGGGAAGAAATGATAAGGTTTTAATTGATGATAAAAGAGAATTAAAAGGTTAAGACTTTATGATTAGTACCTGTTGCTTGGGATAGGCGCTCTTGACGAGCTTCGAAGCTGTGGCAGCGGCGGCAGAGGCGGCAGACATGTCACTGTTTTCTTTATCACCCGTGCTCTTCAAGTCACCACCAACTTCTTCGGCAATCGGAGACTGCAGCTGCTGCTGATGATGTTGATGATCACCACCGGCGCCTGTACTTATAGCTGCTGCTGCTGCTGCTGCTGCTG